ACAGTGGCCGCCGGCCCTGGGGCCGGCAGTGTGGCGTGGCAGGACGTGGGTCGGCGAATGTTCTTTTCGGTTTCGGGGGTCACGTCCCCCACTTGCAGCCGGTCTCGCTTCCGCAGGGCCTTCCCAGCCTCCGGGATGGAATGAATCGGCCTGTGCATCCAGTTTCCGGGGAAGTGGAGCCCTTGTTTTCCGGGCTAACGAGTGGGGGGAAAGGGCCCCTTGGGATATTTGGTTTTTTGTTTTCTTTTTTCAGCTCTCAGAGGGCGCCCGGGCGCCCGGGCCTTGCGTCTGAGGCCGCCCTCTGCGGATTGCGCGTCTCTGATCTGGAGACGCAGACACATGCACCCAGGCACGTCCAGCCTAGCGGTGGCGTGGCCAGCGCTGACTGCTCAGTGAAGAAGTCCCTGTCCCCAAAAGGACAGATTGAAAAGAAAAAAAAAAAGACAGTGTAGATCTCGGACTGAGTCCCGATTCAAGGATTTGGAGAAGCAGCCAGATGGGTGGTTTGGACCTGGAATCCAGGCTTCTGTCCCCTACCGCGGGGCAGAGCCGTGTTTTCCTCCCAGGGCTGCTCTTGCGGCTGCTGACCTTGCCGGCTATCGGGGAGGAAGGCTTGCTGCGTATTGTTGAGGGTGATACAGATTTCTCTCCTCTGCAAATAGCTTCTCCGGTTCTGTCCCTCCTGATTTAGTGATCTGAATGCGGCACACGGGGTGGCCTGAGCCTAATGCTCATGTTCCTTTCTTTTTCTCAGCCCCTCGCCCCCATACACGGGTTAGGCCCCCTCCTGGCTCCCACTGAACCTCATGCTACTTCACTTCACCTCCAGCCCCCCAGCCCTTCCTCTGGCCTCTGCTCCCTGGTCTAGGCTGGGCCCTTCCACCCACCACCTGGAATGTGTTCCTGCCTGCACACCAGACACCCTCGCTCCCTGACATCCTACCTCGAGCCACTTGCCAGTGTGCAGCCAAGATCAGTCCTGCTGCCCCGCCCGCGCTCTGGGAGCAGAGCTGGGGCGGGGGGGCAGGGTGGGGGGGGGGGTTGCTGTCAGCACAGCATGAGAAGTTCCCCCTCCGCGCTCCTTTCTAGTCTCCATCAGGCACGGAACTGCCGCCTGCCTCTCCCTCCCCGAGCCCAATGGAACCATCCACCCGCGCCCATCAGCTTCCCTCTGACCCTCTGACATTGTTCCTTCCCCAAAGTGACAGGACACCCAGCCCCAGACATCCGGGTGCCCACTGCCCCTCTGAGGGTCTGTAACTGCCGCAGCCTCTGGATTTGTGGTGCCAGCTTTCCTGCCCCGTCCGGCCCTTAGGGACACTGACAGCGCAGATGGGTGGGTGAGAGGACAAAGCAGGTGGGGGATTGCTGGCTCCACACTGGTACCTACACAAAATAGTTCTCCCACATTCAGTTTCACTTTTTCTGTTAAAAAACAACAACAAAGGTTTATATTTAAAGTTTCCATTTCCCCTGCTTCTCAACTCTGACTCTCTTATTCATCCACCCAACAAGTGATTTTCCATTGTCACAGATTAAATAAGATCAACTATGTAAAGCATTTACACAGTGCTTGGGCATTAGTAAGTACTTCATATACAGCAGCTGTTATTATTAGCTATTAATATACCTGATTTACCAGTGAGCACATCACTGAGTGTCGGCTACCCTTTGGTTTTCTTCTGAGATTCTGTTGCACATCTAATGAGGCTCAAAGGAGGGAGAAGTCCTTGTCTAGTAACTGGACGTATTAAAAACTCTAGAAAGCAGTTCCCTTCTAAGAGGGTGAGCAAGCCAGTGCTTCTAGTTAGATGCACTAGATTATGTTGCGTAGAGCTAGAACGTAAGCACCTACTATTCATTAAGGAACGTTGTGTTTTCTGAGTCTTTTATTAGGGACCATCCCCGAGCAGACTGTGCTATAAGTGTGTGTATACATGAGTGGCGTCCTTGGGAACACACTCTGTCAGAAGCCATGAGAACTGTCAGACCAGAGCCCTGAAAAATGCCAGTTTTCCTCTGTTCTCATACCCGCTGCTTTCTCTAGATGCTGTCTCAATGCCCGGTTGCCTGGTGGCCTGTCCCGCCATGCTGTGCAGAAGTGCCCGGCCACACCCACGCTCCCAATCCAGGTCAGATGGAAGACCCCTGGCCTTAGCCCTGCAGGAAGGGGCTGTTTACCTGGAAACCCCGCAGGGCCCAGCGCAGAGCCGCGGGAGAGAGTACCCCGAGTCTCCTGCTTGGGTTCGTACCCTTTCCTCGCAGTGTCACTGGAGCCTGTGACCTCCCTCTGCTGAGTCCCAGTTTCCTCATCTGTAAAATAAGAATAATGCCCCAACATTTGTTCTTGGTTTTTAAAGGCATGCCCTTTTTGGGAGATCCTAGTAACACATCTGATTCTTTTTCTTTTTTTAATCCTTGCCCAAGAACATGCTTAGAGAGAGGAAGGGAGGGAGAGGGAGGGAGAGAGAGACATCCATGTGAGAGAGAAACATGGATTGTTGACCTCCATGCATGCCCGGACCAGGGATCTAACCAGAAACCCGGGCATGTGCCCTGACCAGGAATCGAACAGACACCCTTTCCGTGCACAGGACGACGCTCAACCAACTGAGCCACCCAGCCCTGCGGCTTTGTTTCTTTTGAAAGACGAAACTAGACAAAGCCTGTGTGCACCGCCACACGATGGCCATAGGGCGGCTGCTTGATCCTGAGCTGGGCCTGGCCCCCTGCGAGGCTGTTTCTGTAGGTTTTCTTGCTCCTGCCAGTAAATTCCTTCAGGACGGGCCAGGGGATATTTAAAATGCCAAAGCGCATTTCACAGAACCGTACTCCCAAGTTTCTCTATTTTCAATTACATTGGGGAAACTCGGAGATGTCAGGGTGCACGAGGCCGTGAGTGGCTCTGAGAAATGACGTGCTGCGGAGGTGCGCCGTCCAACACAGACCCGACTCCCGCCCGCGTACTTAGCCAAAGGCAGTTCTGAGACACAGGTAAATTCACCAGAGAGATGGAGTGGTGGCTTGGCAAGGCCTGGTGGTGGTGACCTGGGTCCTGAACATCAACGAGGCACTGCTCAGGCAGAGCTGAACTTAGGGGCCAAGATCCCACAGGCAGTCGCTAGAATCTGGGCCTTCAGGTGACCTTGCTTGTACTCAGAGGCTAGTGGGGCCAGTCAACATTCCAGATACAAGAGAAAGAAAGATGTCATTTTTGCTATGGACTGAATTGTGTTCCCTCTACATATGTGGAAGCCCTAACACCCCCTGCCCTCACAGTGTGGTGGTATTTGGAGATGGGGCCTTTAGGTTTAGAAGAGGGTGGGGCCCCATGATGGCATTAGTGCCCTTATAAGAAGAGACCCCAGAGAGCTATGCTTTCTCTGCCAGGTGATAGCAGTGAGAAGGCAGCCCTCTGAAGGCCAGGAAGGGAGCTCTCACCAGCCCCTGGCTGTGCTGGGATCCTGATCTCAGACTTCCAGCCTCTAGAACTATGAAAAAATAAATCTGTGTTGGTTAAGCCACCCAGTCTCTGATATTTTGTTATGGCAGTTGACTAAGACAATTCCTATTTTGAAACTCATAGAATGCTAATGTATCTTTCCAGGTAGCCATTTCTGTTATAGATGTGTTCTATTCCACAGTTTTTAAAATATAGCAGATTTTGCCCTGGCCAGCATGCTCAGTGGTTAGAGCATCAGCTTGCGAATGGAAGAGTGGGCGGTTCAATTCCAGTCAAGGTCACATACCTGGATTGCAGATTCCCCACCCTGGTTGGGGCTTGTGCATGAGGCAACCAATTGATGTGGCTCTCTCACTTTGATGTTTTTCTCTCTCTCCCCCTCCCACTCTCTCTAAAAATCAATCAGGGTGGGGGTGGGGGAATCCTCTGATAGGATTAATAAAGCAAAACACATCAGATTTTACTTTATCAGTAACTGAAAGAGCTAAACAAAATATTTTATACATTTTCCCACTTAAAAGACCCCATTTTTACAGCATCAAAGATATATTTTTATTTTAAAAAATTTTTGTTTCAAATCCCTTATCAATTACAAATTAATGAAATAGGACAAGTTTCTTTCCAAATAAATGGCAAAGGGCTTGGTGTTTCTGGCAGGTGTCACCATTTAACAGGAGCATGGGGTTCAGTCTGGAATCTTCCTCCTGTCCCTCTCCGTTTTGAGCTGCTCATAAATGACAATGTTGATCTCTGCTGCCGGTTCCCACTGTGCAGAACGGGCACTACTTGCCTCCCCCGGGGACACGAGACCAGTGAGCTCCGGATTCTTTTCAGGCTT